TTCCGACGTCCAAAAGACGTCTAGTTTCGACGTCTATATGACATGTTTTAAGAATAGACGTCTAAAAGACGTCTAGTTTCGACGTCTATATGACATGTTAGTATAGACGTCTTTTTCCGACGTCCAAAAGACGTCTAGTTTCGACGTCTGTATGACGTTATAAAATAGACATCTTTTCCACGTCAACTAACTATATTATTTTAAATAGACTCTTATTATATTTAACTTATTTTAGTCACTTAAAAAATGCTGCTTCTATGCTATGCATATGAAAAGTATTTTAAAACTGCGACTGAAGTTGGGAAATATTCATTTGACCACCAGCAGGAAACATGGTCCTAGAAACAGTTGGATTAGAGTTTACAAATCACTCCTTAAATTTTTCATTCATCTTCTTTATTTAACACAATTTAAAGGATTAACAGAACAGTAGCGTAACACTGGTGGCAAAAAATAAAAAATAAAAAAAAAGTCCACCTTCAGTACCTTAAAAAAAACAACTTCAGAATTAACAGGGAGTTTATCAACTGGTGGCAAAACACAATGTACACAAACAAATCTATAAAAATACACAGCTCACATAGCTTTGGTCTGTACTTAACATAAAAAATAAAAAATATAACATGCCTTCATTTTCGGATAGCTGAACTAGCAACACGAGAAATAAAAGCTATATAAAATTACACTCACCACAATTACCGTACACAATTTTATTTTTTTAAAAGTGTGCTGGTCATAACATTTTGAATAAAGTTGATTTATTTCAGTAATTCCATTCAAAAAGTGAAACTTATACTCAGTCATTACACACAGACTGATATATTTCAAATATTTTAAAAGTTGATGATTATAACTGACAACTACTGAATACCCTATAACTGACAACTACTGAATACCCTAAATTTAGTATCTCAGAAAATTAGAATATTACTTGAGATTAATTTAAATTAAATAAATAAATGATTTTTTTTTATAGATGTTGCCCAACTGAAAAGTATGAAAAATGAAATGTACGAGTATGTATATATCATTCATTACTTGGTTGGGGCTCCTGTTGCAAGGACCATGTTCACACTTTTCAGTTGGCCAACATCTATAAAAATCATTTTTTAAATTGGTCTCAAGTAATAGTCAAATTTTCTGACATACTAAATTTGGGGTTCTCATTAGTTGTCAGTTATAATCAACATTAAAAGAAATAAACGTTTGAAATATGTCTGTGTGCAATGAATGAATATAATATAGAAATTTCACTTTTTGAATGCAATTACTGAAATGAATCAACTTTTTCATGATATAATTTTATGACTGGCACCTGTATTTGCATCCCACTTCTTTGTGGCACATTTTAAATGTTCTGTGTGAGCCCGCTTCCTCCACCTCCACTTCTTTGTGGTGCATGTTTTAAATGCTCTGCAGCACGAGTCCTTATAAAACCTTCTGTTGCTGCAGCATCCCCCTTCATGATTCCATCTGCATTTGCAAAAAAAAAAAAAAAGACAAACACAAAAAACAAATGAGTAATTAGTAATATGCAAAGGCAATCTGGAAAATGCACAATGTCTTGCTGGGGCCTCCCCTAATACTGGATTAATTAAAAAAAAAAACATCCCTGCAAATATTCATAGTTGGCTTTGAATTTTTTTGCCAATCACTTCACACTTGTCTCTGTACAATGTCCACTTGCTTTACTAACACATTTATTTATCATGTATTAACGTTTATTTAACCAGGCACCCACGGAAGCACCAGAAGAACATGCAAACTCCACACAGAAAGACCCCAGGTCCAACCGGGGATTGAAATGGAAACCAGGAAATATCATTCAGGGAACAGTTGAAGTGCCTGACATCTTCATGGAGATGGGATAGTCCATGTACATTGTATACAGGAAAGGTTTTACCACACAGGTCAGGACAGAGCATGACAAAATGTTTGATTAGTTCTTCAGCATATTGGAGATATGAATTCTCTCATCTGACTCCAGCATTATTGACATGGCTACTGTCAGGGACAAGAAATGTTTGTATCTCACAGGGGATAACACAGGTTTTAAAACCACAGGCCCAGTGTACAACAAAAACTGCCGTAGTTCAGTGTCTTTCCACCTATCCATTTCATGCAAGCCCCGTGGCTGCCGTGAAAACTCACTTGGCATCTTCCCTCTGAGTGCAACTAGTTTTTTTAGAAACGTCATCCTTTTGTCTCACAGATAAGCGACATATTTTTGGGCCACGAGTCAAGTACAATAAGAGGCGTCCAACTACTCCCAAGCAGACCATATGCATAGAATCCAATACAAATGTGCTAACACAAGGAATTCCTGCATCAATGAAGGGGCTGACATCAGTTTGGTGGTTCCTGTACTCCACTCTGGAAAAACTGTCATCTGTTCTAGAAGCGCATTCCTTCTCACTGAAAACCATTCTTCCCTCAAGACGAGTACCTCTTATTAAACATCTTTCACAGCTCTCATATATATATATATATATATTTATTTATATATATATATGTATGTATATATATATATATATATATATATTTATATATACAGTGAAAAAAGTGTAAGATGAAGCTGAATCCATAACAAATTCAAAGAACACAAAGATATACTCAAGACATAAAGTAAATGATTAAACTGATATTAAAGACTTTGTATATAATACTGTAAATAAATAAAAAACATTTTAATAAAGAATTTCCAAACAATGATTTCAAATATATCTATCTAGTATATTTTGTTTGGAATGCATTCATCAAGTTGTTTTGTAACAAGAAACATTTATGGTATAATAATTTACCATAATATGTCCCTGCTTCCTTGTTGACTTAGTGTTTTTCTTTTTTTCTCAATGAACCATTTACTTTGTCCAGAAAATGTGAACACTTGAGGTGTATGTGAATTTCCATTTTTGCTTCAGCTCAGTTAAAACACATAGCATCATCACTAGGATGTGTTTTGATTTGAAAATACTATCGTAAAAACAGGAAATGTTAAAAAGTTACGTACATGACCAAAAAAAATCCTAAGTTTAAACTAGATCGAGGAATTATTTTTATGTGTATGTCTTGTATTTTTGTTTAAAAAAAGTTTTTTGTTTAAAAAAAAAAAAAAAAAATTAGATGTCTTTTTTTTTTTTTTTCAAAAATAAACAAACACTATGCTCTAAAACAATTTAGATGGGATTAGAATTCAGAAATGTTTGCTAAGGGCGAGAATTCTGATGATGTCATAGGTCTGCCTTAGTGACATCATAAATGCATAATTAATGCATTAATTACATGATGTCATAGGTCTGTCTTTGATACATAATTTGCATGTCTATGCAAGTTTATAAATAGACCAAGTTCAGATTTGTCATTTCTTTCGAAGAACCGACAAAGTTAGGCGATTTCAAGATGACGTCAAAGGCCACAAAGCAATTCCGAATTTTGACGGAATGCGTTTGCAGAGCAACACATCTGGAACAACCCAAGGATGTCATCAGCTTTTTTTCAGATTATTTTTCAGAGCTGGGTGCATTTAAAATATCTAACCCAGAGCCGGACACAGGAATTCTTGTGTTAAACTTTGAAGAGAAGTGGGAGATAAACTTTCTTAGGCGCACGTGGGCAAACAAACAGAATTCAGAAAAATCTGTTCATTTTCCCACAAATGTCAAAAATGACGTGTGTCAGACAGTTCAAACTGTCGTTCAAATCCATCCACCACCACGTTCAAACGATGAGGTAAGACATAAACTGCCTTCACCAGACCTCAAAAATGAAAAAATACCTCTTCCACCAGTGGCAAAGGTAGCTGTGAGACAGGTGAAGAAAAGTTGTTTAAATTATAAAAATGCAGTGGGACCAGAAAGAGGCAGAACTTCAGCGGATGCCATTAACGTGCCACAAACTTTAAAACCTGCTTTAAAAACTGCACCGCGGACTGCAACAACCTCAGAGGAACTTCAAATTTTGATGAAATGTGTATCCAGAGCAACAAAACTTGAAGAGCCCGAGGATATCATCAGCTTTTTGTCTCAGTATTTTTCAGCGCTGGATGCCTTTAAAATATCGAACCCAGAGCCG